AAACTTGACATCGGAGTGAAGAAGCAGATGAGGTTCCATAAATACAATATGCCCTGTAGTAGGGGTCAGCTATTTTATGCATACTGAGTAATACTAACCAATCCTAAAACGTGAGGAAACATCCAATTTAGATGATTAACCCCATAAGATGTCGTCACCTGTTAGGTCAGATCCTTTTGATAATGTTACAAGAACAGATCTATTTTTACCCTGCTCCGCAAGTGCTTTGGTCCAAAGCCTGAATGAACAGGTGTAAGAACATTATCTGACCAATATGAACTCACCTATTTTATATATTGTACATGCTCACACTTTTATTTATAAAATGAGTTCACTGTCCCTGGCATTTTACTTGCACTGTTTCTGTCTGTTGAAATCTGAAATGAAAGAAAGAAGCACCAGTATCTTCTAAACTTTTATGAAGTACAAATTAAGTGAAAGATGTGAGGTTTTTCCCTCCTAGCTTAGTGAAGGCACATAAAGTTTCATTTAGTTTTCTATTACTTCAAGAGTAAACCAAAGTAGTTATTCACAAGTTGTTGTTGTCTATGTTGCATCTTAGGATTTTTTTTAAAGTTTTTGCCTGCCGAAACTACTGAGAGATGCCATAGAACTCTTAAATTCTCTGTAATGTACTTCTAAAAGAAAAAGTACAATACAAGCAGAATTAACTTGATTTTCTTGTTTTGAACAACACTGTGGGTGTTACGGGTTTGTTTACTTTTCAACAAAGTTTTTGGAAGGAAATGATTAAAACATTATGGCTGTGTGCTCTGTAAGGATCTTTGCAATTCATGTATGGTCTGTCTTTAATGAAAGCCTGTGAATTTCACACACATCTCTGTATGCATACCTTTCTTTTCCTGCATGGCTCAGGGTTCCTAAAGCAACCAACAATCAATTGAAAGTTCCTGGTAAGATACCAAGAAATTTCATATAGACAAAATGAAAAACCAAGAAAGAAACAAATGCCATATTGGAAATGTTGGATCATATGACTTTTAGACATACTAGGGTCAAATGTCTGTCTTTAAATCAGTACTTTTTAACATGTTTTTTACAGAGATTTGGTAGGAGAGTGGCTGTACAGTATTGGCAAACAAGCTCTGCTGCTTGTTTGCAGATGGCTCATAGCTACCACATGGATAAACGTGGAATTTTTTCCAAGCATTTTTAGCAAAGTCTGTGTGTTAAAAGCTGAAGCTGACCACCCTTTTTATTTAACCAGGACTGGTATTTTTCACTGAAGTTAAAATTAAAAGAACTAATGGATATTTACTCAAGCCAATAATCTAAATGAAAGCACTACACCTGTATGTAACTAGGATTCCAGGAGAGGTAGATGATACCACTGTGTGTTGTTAAGGCTGCACAGCATGTCCCGGTATGATTCTTGTAACAGTTGCTTGTAACTTTGAGACGTTTTAGCGGTTTTGGCTGCACTTTTCAAAAGTTGATGTCTGCTTGATGTAGAAAACTTTGACAAATAGCAGCCAAGTGATTGAACCATTTCTGGAAGGAAGGTGAAGGGAAAAATATGTTGCTTTATTCCTTTAAAATATTCTTGAAAGCTTGTCTGGGGGGGAATGGGGAAAGGAGCGGGAAGCACCTAGATGATGAAAAGAGAGAGGCATGGAGGTGGTGCAAGAACAGGGAGCGAGTGAGGAGGAAAGCTGGGGCTGGAGAGGAGATTAACTGAGAAGGTTATAAGCTGGGACTTAGCTGGGCAAAAAGGAGGACAGGTAGCTACAGGGATGTAGATGAGTATTCACATATCGAGGCCAGGGATGGAGACTACTTGGGAGAAGCACTGAAAGAGAGGCAGATTGGGCAGGGTGATTGAAGACAAGTTAGGAATGAGGTAACTGGTACACATTGGAGTAACAAACTGGGAGGATTTGTCAGCCTGGGAGCTGCTGGGAGACTGATATTCAAGCAGTGACTTTGAAGGGAAAGGCAAAAGGAGAGTGCTGGACTGGCTTAGCCAGAACAGTGGGACTGCTAGAAGAGGCTTGCTGGAGAAAGAGGAGGACACAGATGGATAGGCAAAAGGCATGGGCCTCCGACCAGGAGCTGGTATTACAGAAACCCTTGGATAGGGACAGATATCCCATGGATAGGGACAGATAGGAAGGGCTGGGCATTGTGAATAAAATCCAAGAAGAGTGGGTGGGAGTTTTACCTCTCAGAATACATTCTACTTCTGTCATGGAACCCCGCTATCCCTGAATTACCTTTCCCATCAGCCAATAATGGTGGTAAATGTTACCTGACAAAGTAAACGCCTTGCATCCTCTTCTACTGGTTCACTGGCAGGAAGGCAGCTTTTCTGGCTGAGGGAGAGACCTGTGCTTTGTGTTCAGAAGTCTTGGCTTGTGAATGGTTGCAGGCACCTGTGACAGGCACACAGGAGTTGGTGTAGTGATTTAGTGTGGCATTTCTGTTCTTTTCAGGTTCTGGTTTGAGAATAGTCTAGGAAATTATACACAAAATGGTACTTTTAAGACTGCAAAATCAAATGCTTCTAAGTTAGTAAGTAGCTAAAAGAGCCTGCTCTGAAATCAGAGTGATTAATTTCCTAATGCACTTATTTTTCTTTTGCATCCCTATTGAATTTATTCACTAATCCTCCTGTGACGTGATGGGGCTTTTGTACCTTCTCTTTGTTATCTGCAGCATCCACCTAAATCAACTCTTCAGCTCTGTTACAAATTAGAACCTACAACCTCAAGCCACATATGGGAAGATGAGGAATATGCAATTACTAAAAACCAGCAAAAAGTGTGATTTAAATCACACAGGCTTGGCTGGCACTGCAGTAGAACTCCATGGCAAAAAGCCACATGCATTTGCTTTCGTTGTGGTACCTTCTGCTTTCTTCAAGTTTATCTTTAATCACTTGCCAATTTTTGCAACAAATTAGGTAAAGGGTGTCCAGAAAGGGTAGCCTCTGTAGCTACATTGTCTGGATTTCATCCCAGAGGAAATCTGTGTAGTAGAGTATGTACTAAAAATGGGTATGTAATAATATATTTTAAAACCTCAGTTCAGTGTACACAGGTAATTCTAAGCACAGCATCATGTCACACTCTGGTGCTTTTAGAGCTTGGAAAATACTTACAAAAGCAGGCTTAACGTTTTGGCTTTGGAGTTTTGTGATAACCAGGCCGTGCCCTATAATATGTTCTGTGATGCTATGGCTGCTGGAGGATTGAACAAAAAATACTGATGTGAGTCTCTGCTTTTATTTTGCAAGTGCATTTTTAAATATAAATCTACTCAGAAAAATGACTACACCTGACATCAGCTTTCTATATTTATAGCTGTTACTCTCTCGTCAAATGTTCAATTTACCCAGCTGAATGACTGCTGTATCTGCTAGTAATCAGCAAATTAAACCTGGGCCATACAAAATTAAGCAATATTCTTTTAGGACCATTCCAAGCTGGGTTTTATAAGGGAGGACAAGTGCTGGTAGAGGAGGACTCTTAGCTTTGCTCCCATGTTCCTCTGGAGATCTGGATTGTCCACATGCTGTTGTTATCTGTGACTCTTTTGACCTGGTGTGCTACATTGGTGTGTGAATAGGAATGGTAGTTCTGCTCAGCACCTGAAGAAAGCGTGTTTTTCCTCAGCACATTCCCAAGTCCCAGCCCAGTGGGCAATATACTCCTGCCTGTGGCAAGATATTGGCTGTTGGCTTTGTCTTGTAACTTGGTGCAGCGAGAGGATCAGCCACCTCTCCCAGCCTGTTGTTGTGGAGTCCAGCCTGGCCCCTGTCAGGAACTGCAAGACCTGTGGTCAGAATTGTGGCAGTTGGTCTGTTAGTGTAGGCAGAAGACTAGAAATAAGTTTTCTCCCCTCCAGCTGATTCATGTCTGCTATTCCACAAAAAGCAACACTTTGCTAACGTTATGCAATTAATGCTAATTAAGTTAGAAAATAACCCCTGAACACCCTGAAAGCAGACAAGAAGAGTAGTCAGGTATCCATGCCATTTTATAGAGTCACTTCGGTGCCTATAATTGTGCTTTAGAAGAGAAACACCTGAGGGAAAGTCATTAAGAAATTACAGTTATGTAGATAAATGTCATGGTTTATTTCTGAATGTAAAAGTGCAACACATAATAAAGGTGTACTAAATTGCTTTATTAGAGTGACCAACACTTTGTTTGCTCAGGGCAGCAAGCTACAGAGAATTGTTTCAGTAGTTAATTGGTAAAAGGAGGGTTTTGAATGTAGAAGGGAATTCTTTTTAAAAGGCAAATCAGAGGTGGGGGACTGAGACACAGGCCCCAAGAGAGGAGGAAGAGTGAGTGTGGAGTATAAAAACCTCAGGGGAATGAACAAGGGAAGAACTCAGGGATTTTACTCTTTTCTGATTTATGGGTGCTCTGCCTTTTTCTCTCCTGGAGGTATGAACTCCTGGTTAGTGTTTCTGAAACTATAAACAATAGTTTGTCTGTACAACTTCCTCAGACTCTCCACCAATGGTCCATAAACCTCCTGAGAACTGTAGCCCTTGTGTTAAAATTGCTGGCTTGCATAAAGTGAGTAAATGAGTAGCACCTTGCTGTGTGTGGAGGAGCCTAAGCCAGGTATCAAAACAATATCCTTTCCTGAAGGAAAGAAACTGGCCTTCACTTTTACCTCACCTGCCTACAGGTACCGCATTTCAAACCAGTGTTTGAATACAACTTTGGGAGGCATGAAGCATAAAGGTTAAAACATAATCCCAAGGCAGAGCTCTTCATCCTAGCAATGAGAAAATTTAGAGGTAGAGCTGCTTCAATAATTTAGTACCAAATACAAAATGACCTCTGTTACCTTCCACTGACGTCCCTGCACTGGGAGGGACTTGATCATTTGCCTAGAAATTGCTTCCTCTGTAATTGTTTTCCAACCATTGAACTTTTGGGTGGGAATTTACCCTATCAATGTGTTTTTATGTCAGATGCCACATTACATTTGTAAAAGACAAACACCTGTATCCTTCACAGGGCTGGTTGCTGCTTGATTGCCCTTCCTGTCACTGATGTGCGATCCACGCTGTTCCTGCGCCTTTCCAGAGTTTAAGAAAGACCTCTCCCTTAAGAAAGACCGTGGACAAAGACTACACTTTAGAAAAGCAGGTAAACAAATAAACAAGTAATCAGTGGAGGACGTTTGTTTATCTATTATTTTAGTATTTTTTTCTTCTTTGGCAGTTATAGTCCATTGTCCTTTTACAAGCAGCTTGTAGGAATGAACAGTTAGGCTGTCCCACAGGCATTCTGCCTGCCTGTGTGAAGAATGTTCACTATCAGTCAAGTGGTTGAAAATAAAAGGAAACCTTGTACTGAACCTCATTAATGTGTAATAAGATGGACTAGCTTGTTATCTTGGAGATACAGACCACTCTACCCTGTAACAGAGAACTCCTGCAAAACAGAGAAAGAGAAAAATGAAGTGCTTGTAGGCACAGCAGTGTATTCACCATAACCAGAATTGCTCCAAGGCAAGCAGTGCCTCTGCTTTCAGCCTGGGCAGTCACAGAGCTTCTGATAACTATGTGATAAGGAAAGGTGTGGCCCTTCCCTTGTTAGATAAGTGGCTGTGTATATCCTGTTCTCAAAATCTGCCTGCCCTGTCATTTAGCTGCTACATGTCCAGGTATGTGTGAAATGAGTTATCTCACTGGAGGCTGCGTCTATGTCCTGTGAAGTGGCTAATGCAGGCTCACTCTGTGCTGTGATAGGCACACGGTGTGTCATATGGACAGAGGTTGCATATCTGTCCTGGCAGACATGCACACACAGTCCCACTTCGTGTCTTTCTTGTGGTGGGACCTGCCTTTAGGCTTGAGACAAGACGAATGCAAGTGTTGAAAGGACTGTGAGGCCTTTAGAAGAAATGGCTGCCCAAGTAATCATCTGGTTTGTGGCTTTCTGCCTGTCCACATTTCAGGGACACTCTGGAAGATGGTGTTAAGAGTGGGCTGTGGCCTGGAGGAACTGTTTGGCGTGCTGTATTCAGCTCATGAGCTCACCACCTCTGCACTAAAAACACTCTGACTCACTAGGCAGAATTTCATCCATTAGTGTAATTAAAAAGTAAAAAGAAATGAAGCAAAGCTAATGAGCCTTCTTTAATAATCTCAGTGGATATCTCTAAAACAGAAACATAGAAATAATTTCATTTTAGAATAATTAAACTTCAATTCATTGAAGTTTCAAGAGTGACAAGGTTTTGGAAGCATAACAAACTGGGTTTAACCAAATTCCAAATTCCAAAGTAGAGGTCACGACTTGTTATCAAACACATAAAGTCTCAACATTTTTTCTCATGTTAGGAGTGCAAACAGATGTTTTGAAGGAGTAATACATTCAAGTTGTTTTGTAAGCATGAGACTGGAAAGGGAATGCCTGTCTGGTTTTACCTTGTGTCTTCTGAGGAAGGCAGGCAGGCCAGCAAAGGGAACAATATTCAGATTTTCCTGAAATGGGAACCGACTGTGAGTAGGAAAATCAAAGTATATATGTTACTTATGTTACTTTCCTACTTTCCTTTTCTCCTATACTTTTCCCCAGGCTTCAGCTTGGATATGTAAGTAGCCTGCTTTTTACTGATCTAAATCTCAATTTTCACTTTCTTATTATGCTAAAAGGCTACAAGTATATCAAAACCTGAAAGGCATGGAGGGTTTGTGCTGATGTGTAGGTGCTGGATGCTCCTCATTTTATCTGAACCATGTTGGAAAGTAATGTGTCAGAAACTGGGAAAGATGTACTTATTTAGTGCACTTTAGCATGAAACCTCCCCAGCAGACAGGTTCCACTGGGAAACTGAGTATTGCCCAGTCAGGCATGGATAGACACAGTGCTTGACCTCTAGTCTGGAAAAGCTTAGTTCAGGCTGTTATCCCTTCCCCCAAACTGTGGGTCCATTCAGTAGCTGAAGGTGGCTCAGCTCTAGGACCATGCCTACAGCAACAGTAACTGTAATAAGAATAAAGTGCTTGAAATCGTGGAACTGCCTGCTTAAATGTGATTAGCTCTAGGAATGGTTGGATGGGTTTGCATAAAATAAAAATAGCAAGAAACTTTGTAAACAAGTCAGTTCCTTTTTTATCTTATTACGAAGTGTACTTCTTCGGACTTCCAATTCTGTCTGGGAGGATAGGCCGGAAGGCCAGGTGTTTTTTAAGCTGTCCAGTGTTACTTGAACATGATGCTTCAGACTGGGGATCTCCTGGCTTACTGCTTCCAAAAGTGTCTGCTGATTTTCATTCCTGCCTCTGGCTGCATGGTGCTGCTTCTTCCTTTATGTGAACTCCAGTGCTTAGCTGCCTCTATGCTGATTCAACTCACTGAAGCAGCAGAAAAAACATATCTGCTTTTCTATTTTATTTTTTTAGATTAGTTTTCTGCCTCTTTAGTAAGTTGTATTGGTTCATTGAAAGACAGCGTAAGGCGAAAAGGAAGACCAGATGACTGAGAATGGTATGAGGAAGCTGGGACACTCCCTTCCCTGGTTGCTGTAAGGTGTTAGATATACTCAGGTTGCCTTATGTTGGGAATTGCCCTCTAAGTATGATCTGCATGAGTATAAATACCTTGTATGTTGATGTGGAGAATGTGGTTCTTACCGATTCTCCTGAAAACTGCCATGTGCCTGACTGCATGTGGTGCTTCCCTCAGTCCCTTGGTTCTGTGAGGGCTACCCAGGTAAGCACGAATCCTTATAATACCGTGTTTGTGGGTGAGGAAGGGGATGTGGGTTGAATAGGATTATTTTGACAAATCTGAGTGCAGAGCACGTAGAGATGAGCAAGCAGGAAGGAATGGTAACCTCGTCTGGGGGATAGAGAGGGGAGGGCAGGAACCTTTCAACCAGGGCATTAGCTTTGATCAGAGCCCAAACTTTTGTAGACAGACAAAGGTGATGTAATATTCCCAGGAGCTGGCAATTACTTCACCTTAAACACCCCTCTGAGTTTGACTCACAGAGAAAATGACTTTATGTGAAATACATTTTGAAAACATTAGGGGGAGGATTTGGATTTTATCACTTATTTAAAAGGCATAAATACAAAGCTTATTTCTGGCACTCCAAAAAATCAGTTGGCTTCCATAATATCCAGAAGTAGGGTAGGAGATTTCCTCTGGATATCTGTACAGTAGAAGTAAGCATTAACATTAGAGATTAAAAATCATGGTCTGTGTTCCTAAAAGGCCCGTTTTAAGAGCTTGATAGGTATTGCTATGTGATGGCTTCAAGGGTCCACCATCATAAAAGGCAAAGAATCCTTGTATCAGCTGAACCTGGGCACAGAGGGCTGGCCCAACAGGGTAGGTGTTCAGTGCTCTCCCCTTGCTGAGGAACAGGTCCAAGAAGTGCTGCAGAAGCAGAGCAGCCTGTGGCAGTGTGCCCTGGTAGGCAGGTTGTGTCTTGTAAGGATGCTGCTCCCTAACTCTACAAGATGGTGGCCATCAGTGGCTAATGCTGGACATTAAGTGGCAGAGAAACCTGATATTTGTATGAACTTTCACACAAGATGGGGGATAATAAGTTAAGTAATTTATTTGTATTTCGGCCCGTTTAAAGTAGTGTGTAAGTATGGCAAAGAAGTTGAGCTTATCAATAATAAATACTCCTCTAGCATGGATACTTCTTCAGCTTTTTCTGTAGAAGTGGGAAATAGGGCTGATGAGTGCAACCAGGGCTGAGGCGATAACCCTGAGCTGTGGAGCGTTTCTGAGGAAAGCAATGGAGCTGGCTGTAGCACTGACAAATTAATTTCCACCCTCTGGAAAGAATCACTGACTTCCCCTCTGTGTCTTTGGGCCAGGAAGAAGTACTCAGAACAATGAGATTAGAAACAGATGGAACCACTGTTATGTTAGGAGTTGGAAATCCCGTTTTTTTCAGAGTTTTAGGAAGAGGAATGAAACCTTTTTCTAGTTTATTTTACAAGCAAGGTTGCAGTGCTATGTACAGCTGATGCACATAAGCTTTTCCCAAATACTATAGACATTAACAACAGCTCTCCAGTAACTGAAAGAGGATACAATTTTAGCAAGAATGTCAAGCATTTGTAGGAGCAGATAGTTTGAAAACACAACAGCTTTGCCTCGCCAGGTGGCTAAGTTTGCTTGATTACATTGACAGGAGAGTAGAGCAGTACAATGCGCTGCATAGTTTGTTCAAGTTACCAGATGAGACTGGTTGGTACTGGCTGAACAGTAACTAGCTATTATTGTAGGTTTCCTCTCACCAACTTTTATCTTCATTCATCCTTTCTTTTCCCTTCTTTACAAATTGCAAGAACAGCTCACTTGAACAGCTCCTTTCTACCTCTAACTGTGCTCTGAAATACTGTGATCCTGCAATGGCTACGAAGCTACTGTATTACAGCAAAAGCACTTATCATCTCTCAATAAAATCAGAAGAGTGGAGCAGTGAGAACCCAACAGCAGGGATGGGACATGCAGGTGAGGTTTAGAAAAGCTGTCCATCAGGAAGAGGAACAAGGGCTGGAAGTTTGAGAGGTTGCAGGGGAAGAGAAGTGGGGCCACCTGACGCAGGAGGCACTGCTAATTGCAGTGGAATTGCCAACGGTGGAAACAGCCTCTGCACTTTGGTAGAGTCAAGAAGGAAAAGATGTCAGGGAACAGGCAAGGGAGATGTGGCCACTTCCCTGTCTGCACCTCACTTACCTCTTTTGGCCTGAATGTTGTGTACACAGAAGTCTGCATGGCTCCCTTGCTTTACTGAAGGTGTCTAGGAGAGCAATGGAGAGGCTGTGCCGTTCTCTGAAGTGTTCCGTGTCATTTTCAGAATAGGAAGTTCAATTGCTTTTGGGGGGAAAACCCTTTCTTGCCATCATGCCTATCAACCGGGCCCTTGTTCATCCTCCGTCTTTGCATAGTTCTCCAATGCTAGTAACAAGGCATGCAGGACACTGCTGCTGTGTCTGTGAACTCAGAAAGAGATATCAGGTGGGGAGGTGAACTCAAACAGCAATGACTACAGCACCAAAATCTCAGAAGAGTGGGGCGGCAAGCATCAGTTAAGTGGAAGGTGGAAGTATCCACCCAGCACAGATAAACTGGAGAAGAAAGAGAAGAATGGCAGAAAAAGTGTGAGAAGT